CCTTCACTTTTACTAAGTGCTGAAACTGTTGAGTATAACTTTAAATACAGCAAAAAGCAGTTTGTCAAAAAGCTACCAAATGCTAACTGTTAGCAAGTAAACATTATGTTGCTATGGTAACTAGTACTGTTCTACTCTGGGAGGTAAAGGTAGAACTCAACTCTATACTACTCTCATTTAAAATATAAAAGAAAATGTTACAACAATATTGACACAGAAATCAAACACATATAGAGACAGAACAAGTCACATAATTCTGAAAACCAGGAGTATTTACACATGTGCCACAGTTTCAGCCCATGTCATGTTGGTCACCATGGTTAGTTTTGGCTCACTCCACATTCAACTGTACAAAGCCTCAATCATACTTCAAGCAGCAATAAAATAAATGATGAACCACAAATGTTTGTACCTAATAATTCTTGAGTACTATGTAGTTCATAAATATACAAAGGAGATATACAAATATACAAAGCTCAGATGGACAGCTTACAAACATTTCAAGAAATATGGATGCCTTTAAAAAAAAATTCATTGAACTTTGGGGACACAATTGTTGGAGGTTTTGTGAATGGAATAATTAACAGGACAGGGAAGACTGTTTACTGGCTAATGGTTTGGGATATAACAATAATCAATCTCTAATTATACATTATGCAAAAAAATATTATTCAATAACTGCAGACAATCTGGGCGTTTTGGACGTAACACATCGCGATCACTGGTTTTTACGTCCAAAACTGGACTTCACTGGACAAAGTGGGTGGTGTGAACATTCTGCAGAATCGTCCGCGTACATTTCAGGACTTTTTTGTGTCATTGACCCATATGCAACACATTAGTACAGTTTAGTGTGGAGTGAGCCTTTTCTCCTTTGGGGGTCAGGGTGTTTGCACTTGCTTTCTGCTGACTCATGTGCTGGTATTCCTTGTCCACTCACTCATTGATTGACTGTGATAAATGACAACCTCTATAAAAATCTAGTTGAGACCATAGACCACATTAGGAGTGGCCTGACAGAATGCTGAGGCCGCCATAGCTAGCTGGAGCCAGTGTCCTTACCCGACCATTTATTCAGACGTTATTATTCAGTGTTAGCTTCACGCCGTAACAGGTACAGACGTGTTGTTAAGATGGTTGCTAGGTAAGCTGGAGTTAAACCCCCAAATGAAAAGTCCTGATTGGTTAATCCATATATGATTCATATCAGTATTTAAAAGACAATGTAAAATTATAAACACCGGGATCACACCTGGCGCTAAACAAGTAAATTAAGAATATCGTTCAAAGTCTATTTACTTTTGTTCTTCAGCTCACTATGCAGAACCCGGTAAAGGAGCGGCTCATTAAACTCAAAGTGAGATAAATCAAACCTTTATTTGTTATGACATAAAACAAATAAAGGTTACAGGTTTTTTACACGCTGTACTTTACAGTACTCACAGCTTGTAAAAAGCCCAAATAAAATGATGACAAAGAAAGGCTTGCCATATGCCACTGTGCATGTGACGAGTCTATACCCCGTATTGGTTTGATATTTTAAGAATAATAACAAAAAAAACTTTTAAACAATATTATAATTTTACGAGTTTCACCTGTATCTGTGAATTAACAAACACACGCACACACAGAAGAAAGAACAACAACCTCATAAAAAAAGCTTGCAATAACACATAAAAAATGACACAACCCTGACTTCTCTCCTGACTCGCACTGATAGAGGTGTCTGCATTTTGTACTGTTGGGAGGTGAGTTGTTATCGCACACTTGCAGAATAAGCCGTCATCGGAACAAAGGCTTGGATGTGACGGTGTCACAGGAAGCATGCGCTGTTGGTGCAGGTTTGTAAATGAGGAGCTTCAGGCTCGGGGTAACTGCTCCTCAGAAGTGTCCTTAATATGTCGACTGAGATACCGCTCCTGCCGTTTAGCACGTTAGCATCGATCAGAGAAACTGCTGGAAGAATCCCCAGGGCTTCCTCACAGGTTGATGTATGCTGGATCGACAGACACATGAGACCGGAATACTGAGCTGTGCTACATTCCCTTTTTTTAACCTAATAAAAACAGCACGAGTCGGGGGATTTGGCAAAGTTCAGACGGTTGAAAGAGAAAGTGGATGAAATGAGCATTCCCCCAAGGCGTTTCTCCTGCTTCTCATGCTCCTGCAGTCACAGAAAAGCTCTGGGTAAGCATTATGCAGCCACAGTATTGAAAAACAAGACCTTAAGGCCAAAGTATCGGCTTTAGTGACCCCAGAGAGCCACGCGGGTCAATGCACTACTTATTTGCATGCATGTAAATAGCTTATTTAAGTCAGAGAAGAATAATGCATGCCAGAGAAGAATAACTCATGACACATTAGGTAATAAACACTGGCCTCTCAAAGCTGGAATCAGGAGAGTGGCTTTCATCAGAAGAGATGAGAGGTTTCCTGTCAAAAGAACACATCAGCAGAACATTTGCTTACATAGTAGAAAGCAGGAGTACGCTGCTGTTATCTTATATTAACAAGAAATAAAGGTCAAATAGAGATTAATTTAACACACACTGAAGAATTAGTGTGGTTATTTCAGCATGTCATGGTATTATCGTTAAATCTGCACCTTTCCATGTATTTTACAGTATATGCACGGCTTTTGACAGCTGCAGCAGTGCTCAGACCTACAACCAACAGGTTTGATATCTCCCTGATCACACTTCAGCAGTCATGAGTTCAGGTGGTTAGAAAAGTGTATAACTTGTGTGGTGAAGGGTTTACTGCCTTAAAATATGTAGCTGCTACTTTTCGGATTTATCTTATTGTGGTATATTTTTAGGATGTAATTCCCGCAATAAACGTGGGACCACTGGAGCAGACTGTACTCAGACTCTCCGCACAGACCACATTTGTTTTGTAAATTGTAAAAAATCATATCATTAACTAGCTTCACCATGAATCTAGAAAGACGTGTGCATAGACCCTAATGTCCAAAATCAAATAGATGAATTACATATCACTTTCTAACTCTAACATATCACACTCAAAAACCTCAAAGTTCCAAATCTGTTTATTTTGCACTTGTGCTGCTGATGTTGTGTATTTATTATTCAGCCATATGACACTTTCTTGCAGTTTTCAGTTCTCTAAGTGTGCAGTGACTTCCTCTGTGACTTCCTGTTTTAACAGAGACTGCAGCCTGTTTTCACGCCCCAGAGGGGCATAAACGGGAAGTAGAAAGGTGCAGATGTCCAGAGGAGAAAAATCTGTGATCTATGAGAAAATGGAGCCCCAGAGGTCACAGGACTGAGACTAGAAAAAGTGCACAAACAACAGACCGGCAGGAAGACAGATGATAGATGATGGATGATGGATGAACATGGACAGACAGATGAAGGATGTTGACATGTGGTGTCCATGTGAAAATGAGAAGTTTGAGTGTTGTGTCCTTGAATTGAAAAAGGCTCTTTTAATGCATTTATGAAGAATCTTGTATAGATGTATAGCTGAGACCAGGCTTGAGGTCTTTGCATAATGGCAGTATGGAGAAAATGTCACACATTGAGCCTGGTATAGTTCAGGGTTTTCTTTTCTCCATTCTTTCAAATATGTAGGTAACACTTTATGATAACAACACTTTATTTAGACTCACTTAATGCATTAACACTTAGTTAATGAAGAACAATGCATACATTTAGTGTGACTAACACTTCATACTTACAGTAACTGCTACAGGATATTTGCAGTCTTCTTTTTAAATCTTTTATACGCATAACCATGGTGGAAGCCCCCTCCCTCCCTGTCCTGTCTGTGTGGAGCATGACATTGACATTTCTTGCCATAGCATTATAGTCCTCAAAGGAGGCCATTCCCATGTTTTGTTTTTGTTTTTTTATGATTGTGTTTGTGTGGAGTGTGTGTTTGTGAAAGTTGTGCATGTGTAGGTGCGTGCGTGTGTGTGTGCGCCTGTCGAATTAATATTTTTCATATTACAGGGTGATCCCTAGCACTACACTTGTTCATTTCAATGGAAAATCAGGTTGTTTGATTGACCCATTAGTGAGAGCGACATCCTGTTCAATGGAAAAGAGCAACACTGTGTGAATTAGTGATGCTAATAAAGTAAGAAACAGCAGAGGGGGTGCCCAAAGAACCACTACACCAAACAGCATGCTTTAATCCATCCAGAGACGTGTTTGCTACTCTTCATTAGCAACAAACAAAATGTTACTCATAAGAACCTTGTATAGATTTAACTAAAGTAAATATTTCTAAGTCCATTATATCAGTAGGAGTACGCTATAAACTACTGTTCCAGCTTATGTACCTGTTTATAAGGATGGGGATGATTATACTACTGATTTCAACTCTTTCAGTATCTGCCAACCTGATGTGAATTGATATGAAAAAGCCTGTTTGAAACTTGGACTCATGCTGCAGTAAAAGTTAAACTCTACGGCTTTCTGTGTTAATATGACACTAAATTGTCTTATGACATTGACAGTAAAACCAATATCATATCTAATTCCGATACCCAAGCCAAAAGAGGTTCCTGGATCCACACACAATACCAGCATTGTCATGGGTGCCTTGGGATTATGGATAGAATAAATGGGCCTACAAAATAAAACCGTATACTGTACAGATGAGCGACATATTTTCAAGTTTCATCTCTGTTGTGCAATTATATCGATGGTGCATTTATATAGTTTCTTTCTCATGGAATATTTATCATCAGAGCTTCTTGTTTAGTTCTTCTTTTCAGACAAAAGTGTAAAGAAGCCAGTACAGTTTATACCTGACATGTTTCCGGTGACTTCCTGATTTTGATCACCTCGGCTGCGCGTCAGAGACATGTCACTCTCTAATTAAGCAGCACTAGCTTCTTACACTTCTGTCTAATTTGCAGAACCTCCTAAGTCTTGGTATATACATTTGTCAGAGAATATGACTCTTTTCAGCAATCATCGATCATTTTATTGGTTTTCATAAATTAAAGGCGACTTAATTTGACGTGTAATTTAGAACTGCGACATCAGTCCGACAACAACACGGCCCTTTAGGTTCCAAAAGCAGACTTGGTGCCTGCTGTGGCTGTAACTCTGAGGTGTGAAGCCGTGGTGGTGCAGTGTGGCGGGAGAGCTGCGGCGGCTACCTGTGGCGTCTGACGGCGAGTGATGGAGCCAGTCGTGTGGATATGACAGATGAGGAAAGGAGAAGAAGGAGAATGTTTGATAACTTATGGCCATCTGCAAGGAAAGGATGATAAATGTGTTCCATTTACAGCGGCAGAGCGACTTCCTTCACACGGGCCTCCCCCACGGGCCTGAACCTCCGCTGCCATCTTTTGTGTCCTTCCCTCACCTCCGTCCGTCACTGAATCCATCCTAAACTCACCACTCTTCACGTTAAGGGCACTTCCAGCTTTATCGACACGCTCAAATACTGCAGACACGGCAAAACTGACACTTTTATGGACTTTAGAGAGCGCATTTGTCAAGTTTTTCTGTCGCTAGGATGGAGGGTCCTTTAGGCCTCAGTGAGATGTAGAAAAACACATGAAGACTTTTAATATTGCTCTAAATGTTTAAGGCAGCCTTCAACCTGTGTACGCTTTGATGTTGTCAGCTGTGCCATGGGAAATAATCCAGCGCCACCTAATTGATCTAAACAAATCTTTTTTTATACGGCCCAGGGTTCACTCTGAGTGATTTTGAAAATGAAAGATCATAAACACATGTTATTCCTATTTATATTGTTGCTAAAGGCTACAGACAGGAATATAAACCATGTGTTGTTTGAGTGTGTGCACGTGCTTTAGACAGTAGAAGACAGTAGTAGACAAACCATGTTGTGATGATCCAATAATAAGAGCAGAGCAAGATTTCTTATGTTGGCATTTGTTTCAACATGGTGTAGCAGGGGCAGATGCAGCTCTGGTGGGTTGATAGAGTTACAAGAACTCTACCGAATCAAAAAGAGCGCTCAATCATGAATGTATAAGCCTAAAATGGTAAATGTGGCACAAACGGTTACTGATCTACAGGAGTTTACTTTTCAATGCAAGTCCATATCAGCCAGAGAAAGACCACGAGAAGAGAAGAGGGAAAAGCGAAAAAGTGATCAAAGAAGAAATCAAGCCCTGGTGAACATAGCTAGCTTACATCGTATCCTCTGGAGAGACTTGTCTATGGGAGAGAGCTGTGGGAGTCTGCCTCGGTCTATCTATGCTCGGACTACATTCGGACGCAAACATAGCGGTAATCTTTCAGTTATATATTTTGTAAGCAGCGCGTTAGCCTGGTCGTACCACATCATAGTACAAATTTCATTTTGTTCTAAGGTCTGGATTTGCTCCATTGAGCTCCGTGAACAGGTGGGAGGGGTTAACTCCGTTTGCAGATCGAAACGACTGGATCTGAGTTTACTGTGACGTATGTAGTGCGCCCGAGTCTGTTGTTAGCATTTAGCATTTAGTCTACCCATCTTCTTTGACACGCTAACAGAGCCCGTGGGGAGTAGCGCCACAATTTATTCTAGCGATTACATTTGCTAAACATTCCTAATACTCCGACTTCAGTTTCTTGATAGAACCAGACCGGATTACTTTACTATCGCATTTTTCGCCATTGCCAAACTACGACCTTCCCGTTCGACGCAAACTCTTGACGTCACCCACAACTAACTACAACACCTGCCTCCCACGCTCTCTGAATGGTCGGTCGAAATTCAACCGATTGTAATCGCTAACACAGGGACCAGACCCAGACGTTACATGCAGTGAAATGATGATTGAACGGAGAGTACGGACGGCTAAGGCCAGGCTACCAGTGTGTTGCTTTTGTACTGTTTCATCAGCTCAAAGAGAGAGCGTCATCTGTCACCTACAGTCTCTCTCCCTAAAACCTTCAAACAAGGTCAGAAATCTAGGGGTAATACTGGACTCAGACTTAAATTTTAATAGCCACATCAAATCAGTAACATCAGCAGCTTTTTACCATCTAAAAAACATTGCCAGGATCAAAAACATAGTGTCTAAAGCAGACTTGGAGATTCTTATCCATGCATTTGTCTCCAGTAGGTTAGACTACTGCAATGGCCTGCTCACAGGTCTGTCCAAACAGGCTGTAAAACAGCTGCAGTACATTCAAAATGCAGCAGCTCGAGTCCTGACTAGAACCAGGAAGTACGACCATATTAGTCCGGTCCTCAGGTCTCTGCACTGGCTTCCTGTGGCTCAGAGAATAGACTTTAAAACAGCTCTGCTTGTGTACAAGTCTCTCCATGGCCTCGCACCAAAATATATTAGTGACATGTTAGTCCCATATGAACCAGCCCGGACTCTGAGGAGCACAGGGACTGGACTCCTGTTAGTGCCCAGAGTCAGAACTAAACATGGGGAGGCTGCTTTTCAGATTCATGCTGCTAAAATCTGGAACAATCTTCCTGAAGATGTGAGACAGGCCTCCTCTCTGACAATGTTTAAAACCAGGTTAAAAACGGTGCTGTTTAGCTGTGCATACAACTGAGGGATTTTATATTTTTATCTTTCGTTTTAATGTTCTGTGATTATTTATGATTTTAATGCTATCTTGTTCAGCACTTTGAGTTGCCTTGTGTATGAATTGTGCTATACAAATAAACTTGCCTTGCCTTGCCTTGCCATTGTTGTAAAGCTTAAGTGGCGCTAATGCTAATGTTAGCATATGTATCAGATCGCGTAGGGGAAATGAGAAACCTCTGAGCGAGTTGGGGGGCGGTGCTAAACATTCAAACCTTGCAGAAACGGGTATATCTCCTTTAAGCTTTACTACGCTGTAGTCTTAGCATTGTCCATCTACATACAGTCCATGGTAACACTGTTCAGAGCTGCGGCCCTTTCCCTGAGCCTTGTCTGCAGTAGAGGAGAGAACTGTATCCAACTGAAGGCGTGCGTTTGAAAAATCCACTTTTATGATTCGTGCACATAAATCACTACACAGACATCCCAAAATCGAAACATCCCTTCAGTTTTTCCCATCCTCTCCATGTTCTGCTTGTATAATACGTTTCCTGGCACATTGTTAGTGAGTGCTGTTTGAATAAAACACAGCATCTGATAACGTCAAGCACTGACTCACCCCGCTGGTTCCCGCTCGGTGACTGGACAGCGAGATTGGACAGTATATTCCAATGGACGCACAATCATTTTCTCCTTCTGTAACAGTGGGTTGTGGATGTTACACACGTCGGCCTGATATTGTCCTCGCTGCGATGGATTTGCACGGAGAATCATAAGTCTGAGAGTAATCAGCGAGAAAGACAGATAAAGGAGCGGACAGAGCAGAGGCCCTAAGTCTTCTGTGGCAGGACAATGGGCTTTGTTCAGGGGCTATGTTTCTCATGGATGAATATTACAAATCACTCAAGCTGAAAAAGGCATTGAAAATAGTTTTTAAGAAAATACGAAATAACTGAGCGGACTGCTGACAACAAATAACAATGTAAATTTGACTTCCGAGACACGAGAAGACTGCCTCTTCACAGCTGCATAGAATGATATAACTTTGTATAGATCGTGTTTTGAGTATAGCAGCCTGTTGTACATTTTTGCTCCAGTTTGTGTTTTATATTTAAAGATGTATTTATAGTTCCATAGTTAAGGATTGTTTGATACTTGCACTGACACTGAAGGAATGATCAAATTGTGAGCGATGTGGCATTGTGATGACATGTGGCTGTCAGACTGTACAATAAGTCTCTTTAAGTCACTTGCATTAGGACTGAAAAACCTGCACTACTTATTGACACTGTTTCTTCATTGCCACTTTTTATTGTACATAATATATCATGCATTTAAAAATAAATTCTTTTGCACAATCTTGAGTGATTCTATCCATGTACATTTCTCCGGTGTGAGATCAATAATGTATATCTTATCTTATCTTAATGTACTTATTCTTGTCAATTGTTTTATATATACTATGTATTTTTTGTTAAGTCCTCCGAGATGACTACTGGTGTGATTTAGGGCTATACAAGAATAAATTGTATTGTAATTGTATTGAATAACAAAAGTCAGAAAATAAGAAAAAATTGAAAATGGACAACAAGCCATAACTATCAAAATTAAAACAAACAAATGCCTTCGTGACTTTGTATGTACCATAAGCAGGGTCGCCATACAGGAGGCGCATGACAGACCTATTGTACATGTTTTCAGTTGTGGGGCAAACCGGAGCACCTGGAGGAAACCTACGCAGACATGGGGAGAACATGCAAACTCTACACAGAAAGGCTTGCAGGTAGAAAAGTAGCAGGTCACAGAGGCAGAGCATTGGGACAGAAGACAGAAGGTTACCAATTCCAGTCAACGTGCCTTCCTGTTCCCTTGCAAACTTTATGTAAGTACTCATTTTTTCCAGGATGGCATGGTACAAAGAGTTTCACCGAGTTTATTAAGATTTTGTCTGATTGTCTCTCTCTCCTCCGCAGCCAAGGTCACTGCAGCTGATGGAAGCAAGACAACAGCTCTCAGCGAGACAAGAGGCTGTAATCTTGGACATGGACACTGTAATCATGTGCACGCCGCTCTCATGACCAACGGGAACCAACAGACGAAATATATTGAGCCAGATAAAAGAAGGACATTATGGGAGCACAAAGCACAGAGGCCAGATCCAATCAAAGACATGTGGAAGGCAACGGTCACATCATTTTAAAGAAGACGTACCGTGCTATCATTTATTGGTTCCTGTGTTTCTTTCAGATGACAGCAGTGAAGGTTTCTGTGGCTTTCTCAAGAGGATCAGTTACATTTTGCCATTTTTTTGTATTGTTTTTGTCGCTGTGGTATGTGTGCGGGTGTGGGTGTGTGTGTGGATGTGTGTGTGAGCTCTGAAATATCTACGTAATTTTCCGACTTCTCAAAATCCGAGTTTCTGAGATCACATGAGACTTTGAACACCTGTCCAGGGACTGCAAATGGAAAATGGTTTTCTTGGCTAAATCTGGATATTTTACAGAGGTTCTTTCTGTGTTAAAATGATGTATTGCTTTGCTGTTTTGTATAATAATAATAATAATAATAATAGTAGTTTCATTTTCATCCCTTTATTCATCCATTTCTGGGTCAGGGGGGCGGCAATCAGAGCCACCCCCCTGACCCAGAATAACCACAATAATAATAATGATAATAATAATAATGTCCCTGTCAAATAAACTAAAAAACATGACATTATATCAAAATAATATTCCTATAATAATATGATGTCTCTATTCTGCGTTTAAAACAAAAGTAAATTTGTAAAAACAAAAATAAAATTCTGTTTTGAAATTTTGAAAGAAAAAAAAAAAAACTCTCCCTCCGGTGGTAGCTAAGGGAATTACATGTTGCCAAGATATTAT